TTTCACGTCAGAAGTCACCCTAGTAGTAAGTAGGGTACTTTTTAGGCGTCCTCTGCTTTCTAATATGGGAAATTACGTAAATATTTTCAATTTGCGTATGCGGCTGCCGTCTGCCAAATTAACCAATGCGCCCTTGAAGGAAAGGGTGTCCGAACGTTATTTCTCTAAGTGGAAAATCAGTAGGGGGGTTGTGGCAGATTTAAATAATTCATTTGACTCGCTTGTTACAAAATTGGAGGGTTTAAACAGCACGTCTGCAAGGGGAAGTTATTAGTATAGCCAAATCTCTAGCCAAAGGAGTCGTGAAGTTAATTGAGGAGAAGGCGACTCGATAGATGGGGCAACACTTTCATTCGCCTGACGATTCGATATCCGTCGCGGATTGATCACCAGAGATATAGGCAGAAAGCAGTGGCAGACCCGTTTCCTGCTTGGTGACCGCATACCGAGGATACTCCGTTTGACATGTTAACTGTCAATAAAATAACTGGCGGTATTTCCTCAAGTTTAAAAATAATTCATCAATTACAGCGTCCTAAAAGAATCTTTAAAAACTATGACGCGAACCAAATTTATTATTATCACACATAATATAACAAATGACAGACTCTGGACGATCGCCAACCCTAGAACTAACACAAATTTAAAGGCAATACAGTTCTAGCTTGGTTTCAAAAATCATAAAAGTTGTACCTTTTTATATTTCCCGGCAGCATAATTAGGATACTTCTATATCACCACAAAATAGGTGTGCTCTGTCAAGTTTAAAATAATCGCAAAATTACAGCGTTCTAACGCAATTTTTGCAAATATAATGTAAAACCAAGTTATTAAAAATGAACATGCTATGACCCATTATGGGCAAAAGGGATGGCAAGGGTGTGCTTTGTTAGAACAACTTCGTTTACGAATGGTTCGATCGTAAGATAGAAGGGGTGTGGCGAGGTCCAAGACTATGTAACCTTCAACCTACTCATCCCCATCTTTCTTTACTGTCCGTTTTGTTTAATCGCATTGGACACAACGCTAGAAATGTATGCCGGGCACGAGCGCTTTGTTACAAGGTTGTAAGATTATGTTAATATTTTACATACCTTCGAACTGTTAGCCTTTTTGCTCATTATTATATTTCTGGATGTTAGTATGGA